TAGCCATTGTTAAATATTAACGACAAATTATAAATGTTGTATTTCATAATTTATGTTTTATATTAAATCGAGCATTAGTGTCTATAAAAAAAGCAAACTTTTTTACCGTATTATTATATAAATAATTCTTGACAAATTTTTTGTTAAATATTTAAACTTTTTAGTTATTATTATTATATGTTAAAGAAAAATTTTAAGATATAAGCCTTTTGACCGGTTTAAAGAACTAATTTGACTCAAAGTGTTGTCTTTATTTTTATCATCTTGGCCGTATTTCATTTTTATAGGTTTCAAGAGCAGTAGAACTTTTTTTACTGTAAACTTTGAATATAGAAGCAAAAAAAGCTAGCAAGGCTGTTAAAATTAACTTGTTATATAAACAAGAACAATTTAATATTGTGAGTAATAAAGTTATGGAAGGCGTTTTATTTGAAATATTTTATTAATTGCTAGTATAAATTGGTTGCGGACAAGTAATATCTTTGAATTCGTCTCTAACAAATGGGCGGATACTACGGTAAAGATATTCTTGCCTTTTATAATCTAAAGGAGGAGGTGTTAGTACGAGGATAGAAAAAGATTTAATTTCTTTGGTAATTTCAGAAACGCTTGCCTTTCTAGTTTTTAACAAATTAAATTCAGTAAAAGCATCATTAGCGACCAGCTGGGCTTTGACAATTCCAGGTCGGACTGCTTCAAATACAAAATGCTGATATTTTTGTAAACCACTTAACTTTTTAACACAGAATTAAGATCTAAGTATTGAAAGCCTTTGCCGTTTTCATAACGCTGAGCTTTGTTTAATCCAGTTGTACTCGATTTTTTCACAATTTCAACAATATCGTTCACACAATTTACCCGTTGTTTTTCTATAGAGTTTTTTAATCAACCCAAACTACCATCACACTTGAATTTAGTATGTCCAGGTACCATGAAATTCAATTCAACGCTTTCGTAATAACCGCAAATTACTAGATATAAATAAAATCAAATAGTGGCATTATTTTTATTCTGTCCACCTGCATTGTCACAAGTATTTTTTAAAAAATTTTCGCCTTTATTCAATCTCTTAATTCCATCAAATACCATGCTTAGCGTGCCATTAGGACCTTTGCCGATGATTTCGTCTTTATCAAAAACGTAATTAATTTGTTCGCGTACTGCTTCATCTTGAATACCAAATAAATGTACTTTACGCAGACTGAGATAATAAATCTTACTTACTTGTTGATCAGAATGGGGTACGTGAACGTTTTGTGCCCAATCGTAACTGTGATAAGCAGTCGCGTCAACGCTACAATAATCAACTTTACCTCTTATTATAAATTGCTCATCTACCAATTTTCTTTGTTGTTCTGCTAATTTCGTATTTTTGTTGTAATAGTTTCTCTCTAATTTAGCTTTAACTAGATGTTCTTTGAATTTTTTCAATAAATCTTTCGCTTTTTCTTCCTTGCGAGCATTGTATTGTAAGCCGTTCCGAAAATGTTGGCACGTATCACATAAATCCGTTCTTGGACTTATAATTTGAATATTGATGCCATAACTTGCGGAATGCATCGTATTTTAACAATTTCAACGGGCTAATATTTTCAAGACCTGCGATAAAATTGCGATAAACTGATTTATAACTCGTTTCAGCTGGCAGAAGTGTAAGCGATTGAGTAATGCGATTGACATTTCTAACCGGACTTGGCAGTCCATGAATTTCCGCATAGTTTTCGAGAAAATTCTTCACGGTGGTAGCAACAGTTATATCAATGGTTATTTTTGTTTTCCATCGCGGCATTCGTTTTATGTTATCATAAACGCGCGGTATTATGCCATTCGTTGCTATATGGTTTCTGACGTTTTCCAAATGAGTGCGACCGATTCCTAACATATTGAGATACGTTTTCTGACAAAGAGGCGTATTGCGATCTCAATAATAAAAAGTTCTTTTATTAGTACGCGTTTTCTTTTTAAGACGTCGACTGGCAGTTATTTCTCCACCATTCATTGCTTTCAGTTGAGCCATTAAAAATATATCTTGTTCAGATCTAGAGAGAGCTTGGAACTCCTCACATAATTCAGCAAACCCTTCTCTCGAAATCATTTTTGAACAACCACAGTTGCAGCCTATTTCCAAGAAAAGCATGATTTTTTCATATTCAGTTGAACCATTATAATTATAATTTTCCATATACAGGTAATCCTATAATTTTATTGTTTCATAACTTTTTATTTAACTTTCGATTTTCTCAGATTAATTGTATTTATCTCTTCCTTACTCTATTTTCTTTCCAAACTATATCTAATTAGCAGTCACCTGGTGACTTTATCTTTGATCTGATTACATCAATATATGCATGACATCAGTTTAAAATGTAGTTAATGGTGTCAAATATAAAGAAAAATGTTACCTCTTTTTATGTGGCCCATAGACACAGGGAAGCATTTGATACAACAATTCGATTTCATCCCCAGCATATACAGTAAGTGGGTCATTCCATGTGCAAATGAGATTCTTAAAGACAGTCTGATACTCATCTGAGAGATTGAAAGAAGCCAGACCACTGACAATGAGCTAGTTGGAATCATCCCTCATTACAGAATGCTTCAAAGTCTTTCTTTTTGCAGTCTTGTCATAATATTTTGCTTCAATATCAATAACAGTTTCTGTATATGCTTTTCCTACAAAAAAAATTCCATGAATGACAATACTCTTCATTGAAGTAAACATCAGAATAATTAAAGCACATAGTTACTTACCCACATGTAATAAACACCAATATAGTTGGCTTCTATAGAAGCCACACAATCCTCATCAAACATAACCTTTGCCCAAAATATGGATCCAGTAGCTTGTTCTTGTGTTTGACTTGGTGGGTTTGCCCAGTTCTTTACCTACAAGGTTTTTTGTCAGAAGAAGTGAAAAACTATAATAAAGCATGTATCTATATTACACACCTGAAATACAATGGTCCCAAACTGTGATGTAGTGTGATGTTTGATAATTAGCCTTATTGATTACACTTAAAGTGGATTGCCCCATGCCATTCCCAAATTGCCTCAATAGTTTCTTGGTTGGGTTTATGATTGATCAAAATGAAGTGAGTAAAGTCTATATTGAAATCATTGATTTGGGAAGCATAACTCTTGAAAGTCCTTCTGAATCAAGAAGTTCATGAAGAAATGACATAACTGGTCAGTCAGCAGAGATAAAATTCCTTTGTTGGTGCGCCTTGAGGAGCAAACGAGACGGCGCCAAGCTCCCAAGAGCAACAATTTCTGTCAATTCCTTGGGCATTTCCTATGTCTCTGCTAGTTAGACCCACATACCCCCCATGGATCTCACCTGCTAAAATATAAGCACTAGAAATAGATATACCCTCTCCTCCAATAAAATCCGTCCTCTGAGCGTTATTCTTTCTCTACATGTAAATAGATAGATAACACAGCTTAAACTGGGCTTTAGCGAGGTGAATAAAAGTTAATTACTATAACGATAAAGCATCGGACAAACGCGATAATAATACGTCACCTGGCAATCATATTGATGAAATAAATATATTTGATTAGCCAATCATATCGAACTTCGTCAACATATGATATGCCGTCGCGATTTTCATTACTGTGAAATTTACTTTTTGATATGGAGTATTTGTCAAGAGAAGTTCGTCTGATGCTGAGATATCCAGGTGAGTCTGTCGTGTCTATTCCTATTCTTATCAAACAGAAC